TCACAGAATCTAACGAAACTTACACTGAATGTTCAAGATTACAAATAAATGTCATGGCCAAACAATTTTGGAAGAAAATGTATACTGGCTGAGTAATGAGCATAGAAAGATAAGGAAATCAGGGTAGTTCTAGCCCCGACATCATGTGTGTTGTCCCATATAAATCTTTCTGTGTAAGTGATTGTTACTTTACCAAGACTCTGCCAAATTTATGATGATTTTGATGACTCCAGAACCTTGCATTACACACCATTACTTACATGCTATATGATCAACTTTTCTGATCCATTCCACACCTTTTCTTTCACAATGCAATTGCATTACCAGAACTCAAGTTTATCTTTAAGAGGCCACAACATTTTAAATTCCACAAGGAGCGTGCACATCTCAACATCCGCAAGTATAGCTTCACACACCGTGTGTAGTTGACACCAGGGGCCCGGTTCATAAAACTTTTGATCTATAACAAATGCTTAATTTCTATGATAAATTTGCTCTCAGCCAATCAGGTGCCTTGATTCAGTAGCTTATAACAGTAGCTTGTAACGTGTTATTGATATCAAGTTTTAGGAAACAGGTCCCTGGAACAAACCGATGTCAACTTCATATCAGAGGTAGATAAGATGCCCATCTTTCGAAACAGCTCAACAAGTTTAGTTATAGGCCCAGCAGGTGATAAAGCTTCACATAAAAACAAAGATGTTGTATTGCCCTTTGCGACCGATGCAAAAATCTTAAAATGTATGGTCGGCTTTTTATGATTTTTCTTTTTTTACCGTTTTAATGAATACAAAAATATGTATTAAAGCATTAAAAACTGGAAAAATATCAGCCCAAAGAAGGAGAAAGAAAGAGAGAGAGAGAGAAAAAAAATCGACCGACCGACCAAGATGCTGACACCTAAATGGCAATACAACATCTTTTTTTGTTAGGCCTATAATCCTGTTGAGTCTTCCCACAGATCGAGCTATGGACCTGTTTGCAATGTTGTATTGATGAGCTACATGGGAGGGTTTTATAAATCTTACTAAGGAGCCCGAGAAGACAGGTGATTACAGGTATGTAGCAACATCTTCAAAAGTCATGCAGCATAATGGTAAAAAAGAAGTGGTTAAAGGTACTATGTCCCATTTGCAGGCCAAAAAATGAAAAAGTTAAATTCCAACTGCATTTGAAAGATAATATTAATTTAGAACTTCCCTAAAAAAAGTGGGGCTTGAAAATGTCTTCAAGTGGGAAAATAACGACTATTAGTTGTCAAATCGACTTTAGGGCTATAGAGCCTAAAAGTAATGGTCTTGATTTTCAGACAATTGTACCGAATGGTCATACGTTTTATGGTGCGCAAAGATTCAATCAGTTTAATCTTGGCCATCACAAGAAGTGGGTTATTGATGTAGACAAATGCTCATGTACCCTTAACAACTCTTTTCATGTATGTTATTACCAAAGAATACTCAATACTCAATAGTGTCTGACAGTGAAATCTAGCAAGTAAACAGGTTTCCTTGCATAATTTGAATATGAGGATACTGGTAACGTTTAAATTTCACAGATAGGAAATACACGACATATTCATAATGCCTGCAAAGTTCTACAGAATTTGAGGTTGGCTGCAAAAGGGACATGGTACGGCTTTAAAGCATCATGAACATTATTGGGTTTTCTCTTGAATATGTCATTTTCATTTCAGGAATGTGATAGTAAGTAACATGTGTTAGTATTTCATGGGTAGTAAATGTAAATCGCTATATGCATAATCATCCAGTTTCTCTTCATCGCCATACTTGTAACGTCACAATGACACAGAGTTTCGATATAGCAACGCAAGAACATATTTCAATACCCATTTGCGTTAACCATAGGTATCTTGTTCGGACCATTCCCACATCCGCACAATTCGATAGGTGACCACAAGGGTCGATTTCTGGATAGTCTCTTTGACTGTGTTCTTTCTGTTCTTTGCATTACTTTGTAGGAGTCTCTTGGTTACTCCCGCAACGTTTTACTGTCATTATACCATTATCAACCATTACCGTTCTCTACATCAATGCATTCCGCCACCGCTCTTAATCACGGGTGAGGGATTCTTTGTACCGGTAATTCAATGGCTTCTATAATCTTGCAAAGCTCCTTGATCTAAACAACTGTATTTTGAGACATCGGCAAAAGGCAGCAAAACAAACCATAGGTAGTCGCAGGCGAGGTTCTAGAAGATATTTCAATTTATTTATTCGTTTGTTTGTTTGCGCATTTAATAATTTGCCCCCTTTTAGGGGGAGGGGTTGGATGTTCTTGCATTCATTTTGTACACGTGCCTCAGTTTTATTGATTTATAGTCAGATATTTTATGTTAAAGGTAATACAAAGTTTTGGTATGGGGTCATGAATTTGGTTCAAATGAACATATTGGAAGCATATGCGATCCTACAACATTCAGTGATCGTTGTCCCGGTTGAAATCGAGTCTAAAGTTATGAAGTTGCAAATAGTACACTCTTTATGTTAGATTGCTCCCTTTCAAGGTCAAGATATTAATTAAGCTATGAAACAATATTTCTAGACTAAAATCGACCGATTAGCTATTCCCGTTTGGAAATTATATATCACAACTACATTATTCTGAAATTTTCATGGTCGCAGCTGCCATTGTACGGCCGTGGGCGCTATTTGAAATTTATCAAAATTTAAAGGGAGCACCGGTAAATTTTTTTTATATTCAATTTTTCTCAAAAGCAGAAGTGTTTAAGGGGCTAAATTTTCTAGCGCTTATAATACATCCACAGGGGCATCCAAATAAATCAAAATTGTAAAGAATCACTATCCACCCAATTTTTAAAATTTCCCAAAACTTTGTATTACCTTTAACACCTCTGCCGCTTTACAACTGTCTAGTCGTACATTCTTACATGTATGTGCAGTCTCCATGACCTCGTACGATAAAGAATATATATTCTGAAAAGTGCGTTTGCTTAATGCTTCACACGGTACAAGTCTGTTTCAATCTGTTTCAGTCGAAAGACGTCATTTATTACGGAACAGGACTCTGCGAATGCAAGTCTGATATCTATTGTATCCCTATAAAGAGTACACTATGCTGCACCCGTCTTTTATTGACTTTCTTTTTCAAACGCGGCTTACGTTCATTGTAGTGGTAAGTTTGCATAATTGCATAATGGCGGCTTCATGCCAAAAGATGTGCGGTTTAATAAGCGTTTTTTCAAATATTCGTTCTCGTCAAAGTTTGTCATTGTCAAAATCTTGTCACATTCTTCCAAGATTCTAGGTTTTATAAAAAAAAAATCACCAGATGCTTTAGGCCAAATAACAAAAATGAAGTGTTTCCCGTCCCCGCCCGCCTCCTTTTTGGCCGCCACCTCCTTTTCGTTTTACTATTTACTATTCAGAAGAACCCCCCCCCCTAAAAAAAGCAAATAAAACTAGCTTGTGATATACCTATTGTTTAAATAGCTTCTTAAGTGATACACATCATTTGTTTTGTCAGTATGCTCACATAACACAATATCTATGAATTTATATGCTTGGTCAACTATAATTAGCATTGCAGCCATCTTGGAAAAAATGCAAAAAATTGCAAACTAGTAGATAGTAATGCCCTGCCTCCTCCTTTTTTAAAAAGTCCGAACGAGAAACACGTTATTTTTGTTACCTGGCCTTTAATGTACTCAATAATAATTGTCCAATACATGTGCACATAATGCATGATTTGCTTCAAGAAATTTCATTACTTTGAGCTCAAAATTACAAAAGAAAGTCGTTTGGATCATGTACCAGAACGTTGCTATCATTGTTATCATTATTGCGTGCTACAAACCATGGGAAATTTTTAGTTTTCAGGCACAAATGAACAGTTTAACTCCAAAAGGGGCTAAATCCATTTTTGTAACTTCAGAGAAAAAAAAAGAAATTGTTTACCAGATTTTGTACAGGCGTATATAGAAAAGTGATATTAGAAGGTGCATTTGTTCATAATTGCTCCCAAAATTTATGTAAACAATTTTGATGAAAGACAGGAACTTAAGTGAATAATGTTCTGATATCAAGAACTCAATTTTCATCAAAAGTGGATTAAGCCCCTTTTGGAATTAGGCTCTTCAAATATTTGTCAGTCGCAGCGGCTGTGCGTAGCAGGGTGGGCAACGCGAAACCAGGGACTTGGGATACAGAGGAGATTTTACATTTGGTGAAACCATAGACCTACTTAGAATGGGCACTTGGTCTTTAATAGTAGGTCCATGGATAGGCGCTGTACTTCAGTTTCTCCGGACACAGAAACCATGGACCTATTTGTAGTAGGTCCATGCAGAGACTGACAGAGTTAGGCTCTTCTCAAGGATTTAGGAATTGTGGTTATATCATATTAAAGTCTGTGCATTTATATTTAGACTAGGGAATGTATATTTCAGTACTGCAACTTCTATAACTTCAAACATTCCAGACGATACAAGCAGAAATTTGATTATTTGGTATTTATTAACATAATATATATATATATATATCCAATGTCATAAAAATAAAAAGTATCGACGCTTTACAATATAATTTACATTTCATGATACTTATATGTACAAAATGACAAGAAATGTATTGTTGTCAAATCAATTGGCTCCAATAAATAAATTACATAATGAATTAAAATCCTTCACAATGTTCAATATGTATTAAATCAAGAAACTATAGTTATACAATGTCAATTTGAGAGTTAAAGGACCTCAAATGTTCTTGTATCGATTGATTGAGTGATGTTAATTTATTTTCCATATATACATCAATATATGATTTTTAACGCGTTTACATAAAACCATATATAGACAAAAGGGGTTCAAAGCTTTAACCGACGTCCTCATCATAACTAAAACATGGTCATACAATATCTATAAATAATATGTAAATATTAACTGGCCTGTTTCTAATTGTTATTAAGTGTGGCTTTCACTTTATAACCAAAATTGAGTAATTTCTGGTCTACTATGCGAGTTCTTTTAGTTATTTCATCTTCACATTCATCAGTCATGTCCTAATCTGATACAATGGCTTAATTTAAAAAAGATCCACGGTTAAACCCCATTTTAAGTCCAAGGCAGATTTGATTGAATAATTGAAGAACTAGTGAAATCCTGAACTGCTTTTTCTAAAGTTAATACGATAATCTGGATTTATAGAGCGCTTATTACGGAATACCGTCTCTTTAAGCGCTTTACAGATGTTATTAACCCGGTCATCGGATTCATTCACGCACATTATGCACTCCACTGCACTCCCTGGGAAGTATTCCTACCGTATAGGCAATTCCTAGTGAAATCCTGAATTGCTTTTTCTAAAGTTAATATAATAATCTGGATTTATAGAGCGCTTATTACGGAATACCGTCTCTTTAAGCGCTTTACAGATGTTATTAACCCGGTCATCGGATTCATTCACGCACATTATGCACTCCACTGCACTCCCTGGGAAGTATTCCTACGGTATAGGCAATTCCTAGTGAAATCCTGAATTGCTTTTTCTAAAGTTAATATAATAATCTGGATTTATAGAGCGCTTATTACGGAATACCGTCTCTTTAAGCGCTTTACAGATGTTATTAACCCGGTCATCGGATTCATTCACGCACATTATGCACTCCACTCCACTCCCTGGGAAGTATTCCTACCGTATAGGCAATTCCTAGTGAAATCCTGAATTGCTTTTTCTAAAGTTAATATAATAATCTGGATTTATAGAGCGCTTATTACGGAATACCGTCTCTTTAAGCGCTTTACAGATGTTATTAACCCGGTCATCGGATTCATTCACGCACATTATGCACTCCACTCCACTCCCTGGGGAGTATTCCTACCGTATAGGCAATTCCTAACAGAAATGCTTTCGTCGTCCTACCGGGTCCCCAATTCTCTCTTGGGTAGTGAGTGGCAAATGTACATTATTGCCTTGACCAAAGTACATTCGTGCCGTGTCGGGGATCGAACTCACGACCTTTGAATTTGCAAGTCAAGTGCTTAAACCAATCGGAACATTTAAAAAACATTGACTCCATTGTTAAGTTTAAGATTGCTTTAAAGACGCACTTATTTAACATTAAATTCATCCATTTTGTCTGTTACCCAGTACATCTTGTTTTTGTATTTTGTTGTGTTTTTCTCTAGAGCGCTTAGGGACATGTTTTAATACGATGTGTTATGCGCTATACAAGAACGGTTAATTATTATTATTATTATTATTATTATGATCAATAGCGACTAACATAGATATAACTCATGGTGATATAGTGAAACAAATATGCATGATATTTAAGCCCAATGATAGTCAAATAAAAATAAGCAAAATTCAATGATAAAAGTCCTCGATATGTAAATTTTACATATCTGTCTCGCAACTCTCGCTTATAATTTGCCGGAATCCATCCATTAAACAACATAATCATTAGGCCTGCACACATGATCATGGGGCCTTTAATGTATAACAAGCTTTTCGGAATTCCGGTTGTACAAGAATGTCACTGAACCATGCTTCATTCGGACCGGCTAGAAAACCGAAGAAGACCGACAATCCACGAGATCGGCAATGTTAAAAGGACCGCGAGCCTGACCGTCCTTCTTACCTTCGGTTTATATCCCTGCAGTATTATGCTACGCATGACGTAGGTCAAACGGTGTCGGTTCTCACAGTGACCTGGTGCTACTTCCCGAATCCGCTTTTTCCATCGGCGTTCAATGCAGGGCACATGGCCGAATGATGTCACATCTCACAACATTTCTAGTCCACTCAATTTACTTCGGCTGTTCGGTTAACATCGGATGTTCGGGTAACTTCGTATGTTCGCTTCCACACGAACCTTCACCGTTTGGTACCATGACTATCCGAACCAACATATGATTGTTTCTTAGTTTGGTCATAATGTCACAGCTCACAGGTAACGATTTGTGATCCGTTATTTAAGGCAGGGATCCTAGCCTTAGCGAATCTACTAACATCAGTCCCACCAATAGCAAAGAGGTGATATTTGTCATTTTCGGTCATATCCGTGGCCCCTATCCGTTTGTAAAGCTTCATGACATCCGTGTTCCATTCAACGACAGTACCCTGGATAGCCTTGCAACCACGTTCCTCAGAGATCTGAAGAAAAAAATATGAAAAAACAAAAAACAATGAGCTTTAATTTGATGCTCTGAAGTCTTTCAGTATGGAATTCAAAAATTCAATTAATTTATTTTTCAATTTCATAACAACTTGAACCTCGCAATCAAATTGATTGGATGACAGCTAGCAAAAGTGTCTGCTTTCTTTCATATTGTCAGGTGTGTAGTCACGTGAAGGTCGGAAGTGACCATAGTTTTGTTGGGGGATGAATACCAGAGCCCACCGGGTGCCAGGGGGCTCATTTCCCACGTCTCATGGCCAATCACCCAACCCTTGACCGCTTGGCATTCTTTGATCACCCCTTGTGTAAGGACCCATGTCACGTGGTGTGGTAAGGACATCACCTGACAGTTTCATAAAACTTGTTTTCGAAGTCCTTCGACCTGACACAATGAAAAATTGAAATAACCCTAAAGACAGGTTTTAAGTTTTTGATAATCGGTCAACCTGGACCAGAATATATATCATGCTTTATTTATTGATTTACTTCTAATCACTTGGAAATATATTTTTACAGATTAGCATGGTCAGTTACAAAACCGATTTCGACATTGACCCTCCTGGCCCAGACAATAATCCGATTAAAGATTGAAATCATAGATAAAAGTACAATATACATAAAATGATTTAAAGGCATACTTAAATAAGAATAATCTATTAATAACGATGGCAAATTATAAGATAATTCTTTTGAACAATTATAAGACCTTACCTTAGCAATTGTGTGGAGAAGAGCAATGCCGAGCCCAGTACCTAAAGAACAGACAAAATAAAATTGTTCAGCATTAAAAGGTTTCATCACAATCATGCATCCTTAAAAGGAACGAAAATGAAGTCGAGAATACTATAGGTCAATAATCTTCCCGATAAATCAACGCTAATGGCAGATTAAAAAACCCGCCGTCAAGAAATCTATTAAATAGTGATTAAAATCAAGGCTGAATAGCAAACTGTAAGTCCGACGGGAATTGGAATGATAAGGTTTTGTTTTTTTCTTTTCTTCTCAGTAATAATCGTAATAATCCAATATCCTGGGTTTCTATACTGTCAAAGTAGTGGCCAGTCAGCACCAGGAAAGCTCGCCCTGGCGTAAGTTATGTGGATTCTTAAAAGAGCTTACAGGTATAGAACAGTTTTGGAAATGCACCCCCCCCCCCCAAAAAAAAAAAAAAAAAAAAAAAAAAAAATGAAATGAAAGCTTTTACTACCAATCACGAGAAAATGTATGTTTTGACTAATACGTGATGATACAAATGTTGCCGGGATACCGCCTACTAATTGATATATTTGGTAAATTATCATATCGATCCGCCCTGGATAGATATCAAGTATTGCCATCTAAACCTCTGAAGGTAATAGATAAACAATATTGAATAGATATTTTGCAGTGTTGCACCCAAACCCCTTGAACCGCTATTTTACTACTACCGGTCTATATCTTGAAATACTTGGCCTCCAAAAGTTTAAAGAGAGAGGGGGGGGGGGCGTCTTTATGCTGATGCGGGATACGCCAATGACTGTGAAAATGTACTAATCAGCCCTTTTTCGGCAAAAGGAAATATTTTATCGAGGCCTGATAATGAAAGGACCTGTGGAATGTTCTAAAATTGATTCAATCTTTCCGCTCGAGTCACATGTCTAAATTACCATAATAAATCATGATTTATGGCGAGTTATCTTGGGGTAAATAACTGCTGCTCGGATAATAATGAGCCCTGTTTTAACCTTCTTATCAATAACAAGTTATACTAACTGCATGTTACAACTATATATGCCAATGAATTCATTGCATTTGAATGCCGGCTGAAAAGAATTTGTCATTGATAGAATTGTAATATTTGTTATTGACAAGAGGTCTTATAAATGAGGGTCCTGAGGAGGTAATTTAAAGAAAAAAAAGTCATTTTATCTGTTTAGGAATTTTTGTTCACTTGTCATAATAAAATTAAATTTATGGCGCATTATTGGTTAAATGATCGACTGCTTAAATGTCACTGACTTGGCGGAGAACATCTGCCCAAACGTTAATAAATAGTTGCAGGTCAGTGTTTGTCGTGAAATTTTGAACCCTTTTACTGTGTTACATATTAAATAACTAATAACACGACCTCTGATAGCAATCAGCGTGATGAGGACACCGTTTACGAAACAGTCACAATTATGAGTTCACCTACATCCCTTCAAACGCCTTTTCATTTTAATATACACATTTCATTTGGATATTAAACGGCGAACTTATACTTGGCGCGTTCATGAAACCATGCCTAATGAGTTAAATAATTCTTTTGAAAGGATGTGCATCAGCATTTTGATATGAAAATGACGGCACAAATATAATTACATCAGCTGTTTACCTCTGTATTCGGAATCGATGTAAACATCTTCAAGATAGAGGAGACGCCCCTTCCAGGAGCAGAAGCCCATGAAAAAGAGGGCGTAGCCCAAGATAGACGATTCCTCATCAGCCTCCCTGTCTTCTAGGACGATGCTCTCGAAGACAGGATTATCTCCAAACCCATCTCGACGAAGATCTGAAGATGGAACAGAGAGGCAATAACATGTTTAAGATTTCGTCAACTACCTTTTCAAGTCACATTCGCGAACTCATATACCATTAAATCCCAAACGGCATCTCTATTTTAGTGATTGAGTACTAGATTTATGCGCATTCATATGACCTTTCATTATAATTGTAAGCTGCAAACAAGTAATATCATTCTGCTTATAAAACACTTTAGAGTATAGAACACTTATACTAATACTAATACGACATCGTTACATGTGGTAACATGCCGAATTTCCCTTTAAATAAAAAGAAAAGGAAAAAACAAAACAGAATAAAACAAAAACAGAATAAAACAAAACAAACTAGACACACACAAACAAACAAATAAACAAAAGGAACTCACCATCTTCGGAGACTTCCACCCGATCTCCATAGTCTTCACTCTCTGCGAGTTCCCTCATAAGCACTGAGATCTGAGAACAGTCGTCAATCTGTCCTCGACGTATCACATAGCGTGTCATAGTCTTGGACATTGAACAGTTCTATAACAAAAAACAATAATGATAATGCGGTGAATAACTGTCATATTCCGAATATACTAGTAGACGAATGTCAGTAAAAAAGGGTGGTCTACAATGTATTTATGCCTTATCTCAAATTACCTTCTAGTGTGGGTGGTACTTCCCAACTAAAAATGGGAAAAGAAAAGGCGTTTACAGCTACAGCCTACATGACCAATAGAGACCGGCAGCCCTCGACCGACAATATCCGTCTTTCGGGCCTTCTGAAAGGTTATCCGAGGGTTCAACAAACCCGCGACGCACCAAAAGAACCGACAGCCTACACTATCGACGACCAGATAGACTGACGGCCCACGAGACCGACATGACTGACGACCCACGAGACCGACAGCCCACGGGATCAACCACCTATGATCTACAGTCAACGAGAACGACCGCTCAGGACCGATAAACGCGGGCTTTCTAAGAGTCTCCTCAGGGTTTACGAGACCGATATTAGGGACTTTTGGATTCAGTGGACGAGAACGGCGTGAACGTCCACTAATCATGCGTGTCTATACGGCAAGCCGTTTTAACATTTATTCCAATTTCTTGATATCAAGAAATAATTTTTAGTTGTGAAGCAATGGTAATTCTTGATATCAAGAAATGATTTTTCAGTTGTAAAGCAATGGTAAAACGGCTTGCCATTGACACGCAAGATCAGTGGATGTTCACGCCGTTATGGTCCACTTAATCTGAAAGTCCCTAGTGTCTCTTAGGTGTCGCTCGACTGGGATGCCCCCCGTTTTCAATATTTTTTTCTCATTTCAATAAAAAAAAAAACCATCAAAGACGACAGTTTTGCCCTCCAACACGTTTACGCGTCCGAAAACGCGTCTCCATTCAAGATAAATAGAGTGGATATCCATTATTTATTCTTCACTCAGACGCAACTATTTAGTCTATAGATATTTCGAAGGGCGATTCAACCCTGTATTTCAAAATCAATACTCAGATACGAAGCTATTCAGTAAAGTGGTCTACACAAGCAAAGCACGGGTCAAACCATTATAATTTTGTTAACCACTAAACGTGCTCTAAAACGTATTTTTAGATCCATATATTGACAAAAAAGCTTTGCAACGAGGTTTGAATATCAGTTTATTCTCCGTAAAACCAATTCTTGGTAAAACATGGTATCTGTTTTTCTGCACACTGAAGGGTCTACCTATTCAATAGTCCAGACATACTTATTCCTATTATATGTACAAGGTTTCTAATTGCTGCATAGGTACTTGACGCCCTGAACAAATAAAGCGAAAGTTATGTGAGATTAATGTAGTACATTGTGCATTCGTTTAACAAACGAATGACGTGACAAGAGGGATTAAAGGGGATGACCCCCCCCCCCCCCCCTGGGATCATGTAATTAGTCGAGGAAGGATGGGACGGTGGTAATCGGTCGTGTCACGGTCCTTGTGGCGCGGCAAACCGCCGCCTAAATTCCGCCTTGGTTTTTTTTTTTTGACGAGTAAAACTGAATGGCAACTGCTCGTAACAATGATCCAGCACATATTTAAAGAGCTTTGTGTTCTGAATAATAGATATTGAAATGTGAAGCGTCTTGCATTTTACGTCATAAAAGCACAAAACAATCCGCGTCTTATCTGAACAAGCCCCATGTGTATCTAAACTTCAAAAGGACAAGGGGGGGGGGGGGGGATACATGCTTCATGCTTTTTGATATTTATTTCCCTCATTTTCGTCCCTATTGCATTGTATCTGCACTCAAATGCACGCGACTTTGTTTCATGTTTTGATTTCCTCAAAAAAAAATCTCATTTTGATAGCATTCTTGTGTACACCCGTCAGACGCGATGAACGTTTGATTTTGGTTCTTTTACGATAAAACATTGTTTTGAGCCATCAACCTATGACAAACTCAGTACATCGTTTCACTCCTATTTTATCTTGAACTGGTGAATATTGGGCCCCCTCTTTTCATAGTTGCCTCTTGTGCCTTACTTAATGTTCCCTTTAGTCCCCTTGACACATATTTTCATAATCTCATTGCATTTTTGTTATTTACCCCAATTCTTACAGTTTTTAAAAAATAAATTGTACTCTGTTTCCCTCCTAACAACTTTACAACCCTCTCTTCGAAAACCATTTTCCTTTAATTTTTTTTCCTCCCCTTTGAATATGTTTGATGATTTATGCGAGGGATTATCCGCATTCAATGTGTCGGGCACATTAGTACGGTTAGTAAGTCCTCATTCAGTCATTGATATCATTTGCCAATAAAATGTGATATGCTCCGAATATATTCATTGTATGGTAAACATTTATGAAATGCCTCTGGCTATATCAGGTTTCGATACCACTAGTCCAATCTTGCAAACAGTTAGTCATGCAAAATTAATTATAATGGTGATTAAATGTTTACCTGTGCAAAAGAAATTTTAGAGCAGACAAAGGGCGGATAGTAACCCCAACTTATTTGGCAACAGATTACGAACTACTATTGTAGTTGATCCCATGTCTGATCCAGTTCGAGCTGACATTTGAATTACTTTGGAAGAAGATCTTACAACTATTACAATATAACAAGAAGCCTTAATTTCAGAAGCGTACTAAGTCTTGAGCTGTCTTCAGTATACCAAATTCTTTAATACTTCCTATAACCATTATTCTCAAGACATTTAGGCATGACTGCACATTCCAAATGATCTTTTGTGACGGATCTTTTATACGAAGACAGTTTCTAACTTTCCACTATTCAAGAGAGGTAAATAGCATCTTCTACTGTGAATCCCATCGCTGTATTCGTGTCAACGTTGAAGAAAAGACGTGCTAGGATCAACCAGGAAGGATTGTAACTAGAGAGTTCCGTGGAGGAAAAACGCCCACCCTGTATTGAACTCGGGCACCGAGTTCAACTGCCTCCTCCTCTTCATAATAATCATGAGATCGATACAGGGTATCCATGTGTATAATATGTTTCACATCCTTCCACAGGGATCCATTATATCAACGTTTGCCTCCTTAATGTATCAACACTACAAATAATAATAATAAATAATAATAATACTACTAATAACAATAATAATAATAACAATAATGATACTAATAACAATAATTGCTTCTTATTTAGCGCTTTTAGTTTACACAATACTGATCAAAGCCCTGATACAACAAACACCAAAAATGCATATAGAACAATAATAGCATATATAATATACATATAACACTTATAGTTATACAAAGTTATAGCAGTATAGTCAATATTAATTTACAAAGATTGGGCATAATAATACTAACAATGGTGGAATCCTATAAAGCGTTAAGGTCTTACAGACAGACAAACACATACACATGTAAATTATGTATAATAATACAAAATATAGCAATATAGGGCCTATGCAACTTAGGCCAGGGCTGCCATTTTCAGTTTTCTAAATATAAACCATTTAATTCAATTCATATTCTATGAAATGTGAACATGATACCCAACCTAATATAACCTAATGTAACCTTAACCTCGCCCTCCAAAGAGTCAAAAACAAAATTACAATACCAGACAGACCCCAAAGTAGAGCAAAACACATTTATTTCCTGGTAGAAAGTGTGATCGAAGTTTCACATGTGTAGCCGTTTGCAGGATAACTGGCGAAAAAAAGACTTCGTAACCATCGTGCTGAAAATATATTTTTGCACAAGATTAGGAAGCTGCTTGGGAAATCTCGAAAGAATATGTACAAAATATTCCCAGAGCTTTTGCTCTCATCACTTCCTCATGAAACATAATCTTGGAAAGTGAGAAAAACCAATGCCTGGGTTGATGGTTCTTTCTCGGATCTAACCGAGTTCGCCAAAAATATACCACTCTGCCGGGCTATTTCGATATCATTGTTAATACCATGCCATGAAGTCGTGGAGTCCATTCCCCACTCCCTTGTTTTATCTCAAAAATTCGTTAATTTATCAATGGTTGAAACTGAAATTATCTAGTGTAATGTCAAATCATCATCTACGCAACACTTGTTTGCCCAACGTCAGTGTTGTCTCCACGGCATAGAACCGTTTTATATGAGATAACAATACTTTTTGAGTTCTGAAGAAAAATGAAATAAAATTTCTCACCTCAATCTTATCACCCTGATCTTTCCCCAAATCAATGGCGCGTTTGTCTTTCAAGACCAGCTGTGATACGGTCGTGATTAGTCCAGCGATCTTGGATGATTTGCCACTCTCCATCAGTGAGTTTTGAAAGAGTTAAATCCTTAGGAGGAGTCACAAGACAGATAATGATGAAGAAACGAACGCTTCCGAGAGAGTTACGTTTTAATAATAGTTTTATAAATCCAGCACAATATCCACGGGGCAGAGCGATGTTGACTTTCACTTTGACTCAGGTGTATAATTCTCTGCAAGTTTACTTAGCACAGGAGTTGATGAAAATACGGAAACAGATTTGCAGCTACCGGCTACCGGCTACCGATGGTTCTTCAAAGGATCAAGCAAAGAGAACGGCGAATACTGAGTTATACGATGACAACAAGTTATGAGGTTCTGATTACGGCAGACAAGTGATTTGAGTCTGACGAGTTGGCTGATAGTGCTCTACGGTGTGTGAAGTGCACTTCCTATGCGATGATTTTATATAATACTGTTCCGAAGCGGAGAGAGAGAGAAAAGCGAGACATCGATCCGCGCATATGCACTAGGAGAGTCCTGATTGGCTGGATTTTATGCAGCACGTCGGGGGACCAACACTGAGAGAGAGAGAGAGAGAGAGAGAGAGAAGGTGGGGGGGGGGGGGGGGTATATGTTGCGTGCAATGATGTCAGGGGAATATACCATTTTTTTTCGGTATTACTTTGATTGTTGGACCGTTAGCCTGAAATAATTTCAATGGAATAGTCTAGTGTTTGCATACCGGTGATAAAGAATAGATCCGGAGTTTTGTATGGATGTTCGGGGAAAATGCCACTTGAAGTTCTACGACCAATATTAGCTCCTGTGATATCAAACACACCTTTGCTTTCATGATATCACATTGTACGATATTTACAAAGCAATTTCCTGCTCTTCAACAAACGAGGCCAATGTCATTTATACTAAAGTTTGTTGATACTTGCTATACTTCATAAGATTGGAATCTTTAATGTCGGGATATTACAGTAACCTGAAACAACGTTATGAATGAGAGCCAAAGCGGGTATTTTTTAAATCTAAAAATCATGATTATTACACCAAAAAAGTAGCAATTTCGTAATCTTCCAATACACATAAACACATTACGTCATTATGTTATATATGCATACAGTTTGTACATTCAAGAATTTGTGTAATATATATATATATATTTCTATTGTATTGTTTAGCTATAGTTTGTTTTAACTTCAACAAAATGGAAAACAATTATTTTTTCCCCAAGGCAATAACATATTATTATATTTTGGGGCATAAAGCTATCGAGGTAATAATATTTTGACTTAGTAAAATCAACCCTACGAAATGTTAAGTACATGTAAAATAAATTAACTGTATCATCGGTTTTAATGCAATGACATGCTGTTATGACGTTAGCTAACAATACATGCACACGTCAATGTATCTCTCTCATTACCATCACTGTTGTAATTTAGCATTTTAGGTATTGATTGGAAGTGAAATTAAAAAAAAAGTCTTGAAGTATGAATAGACGTTTTTAACATTTGTGAATTGAGACCAGGCCATCTGGCATTTCGACCTTGTTTGGTATTTGAATACCGCCTTTTTTATCGAGTGCAACACGATGTTGTTTGTTTATCAAACTTTTCTTATAATGGTTCTGCCATGTAACATTTATAATTAAATGTATACTAAGCTCGTACAGCGAGAGGGGCATATAGACTAGAAAACACGCACGAAGAAACGTCGTACAGTGTATAAAGAAACTAATTTTGAAGCTCTAGGTCAATAAAGTATTAACATTATTCTCCTAGCCAATCAGAGCGCGCTTACGATAGGCCCCGTCCCTGAAATATAACGATTTGTAATACTTGTGTACCACCACAAATATTAGATATTTTGAAAAAATTTGAAGAAAAAAAACGTTGAAAAAAAAATGAAATAACGCCATTTACGTCGTATGTCAGCCAATGCCGATGTTGGCTTTTTTGTTGGCATTTCGTGTTGCTTATAAATGTTACCCACAATTAGCCGGCTCATGTATTGTTATTTTTAATTAAATGATTAATTAACGGTCACCGTGTTTTTTTTAAAGTGGAGCTGAATTAGTATGATCGTATTTGCTAAATTTCACACATTTTGGGTTCTAAAATTACCTTCATAACAATTTTAGGTTCTAAAAGGGCACTATAAATGTCATAGGTAAGAATAAAAGCAATAACCATGCACTTTGAAGGCACTTGCGGTCTGAAAACAGAACCCAACTATCCCTTTAACAACGTTCAGACTAGAGAAAATAATTGTTTATCGTATACGATGATTTTCTTTTCTTGTCGGAACGGGTACAGATCTTTGCGGCCCGTTGTGTAAATGTAAATATTGAATGTGAATAATTCCGCGTGAGATTCCGTGTGCGCGCCCATTACAATGTCATTGATTCACATTCTTTCTAAATAACGCCTTTTTATTGCAAGTCACGTATATTGTGTTTGTCTTAAAGCCCATCTGTATGTACTAGTGTGACCAGGAGTGATTAGACTCCCCTACAAGGTCACTGGAGGGACCAATGGTCACCGATTAGGCATTGTTTGCTATAAAGAGGGATCAAGTAGCTACAAGTAGTGCAGTGTGACTTTAAGTGATATTTTCGTGCGATAAGCCTAATATTCCTGAACATATGCTTAATTGAATTTATCCTTGAATATTTAATGACAATGCGTCGATTGTTTTGTTGGCTACTTTTCCGAATCTTCGATACATATCATACATTTTTCTAAATCTTTTATGATATTGCTGTGTGATGTTGCCATTGATATTTCTTTTGTATTTCTTTTGTATTTTGACACTGTTTTTATGTTGTGAATATCCGATTGCATTGTAAACAATATCGGCCTTGAGCTGCATGTCATGTACATTTGTTAATATAAGTTAACCAATTAAATTAAAATAAACATGATGTCCTGTTGGGGCCAGCAAAATTAACCCGTAAGTTTTTCTCAATGTTTATTGACTGTGGCATTTATCCTTGCCCTAGTCAGTGTGATCAATATCTTTTTTTTTTTTTTTATCATAAATTTATAATTGTTTTGCTTATGAAACCAAATATTCTAAGGTTGTCGGGAAGGTATACATCAAATAGGGTAAGGACACGAGCAATATTGCAGATAAATGTCATGTTTCATTGCTACTACACAACACGGCTACAACAACACCTTTACTTTTAGAGGTAACAGGGCAAAACGTGCTCTCCCTAATATGTAACGCGTTTTTGTCAAGGGGAAGTTAACCGCGGTAGGCAAGAGGGAGAGAGAGAGAGAGAATGAGAGAGAAGAGAGAGAGAGAGAGAGAGAGAGAGAAAGCGATTGATTGTCTGGTTCATGTTCAACCCCATAAATAACTGGGCTTATTTTCTCTGAAAACACAAGTTCACATTCCTGAACTGAGCGGCGAAGATGAGGGGAAAACCATTTTTGTTGCCATATGGAGTAGATTTGAGAGAAAGTTCATATAATCGTGACCCCGATTTGGGTTTCGTTACAAGGTTCAGCAGAAAAGGGTAGTGCATCGTTAGGTCGCTATTCGTGCTAAAAATGTGATGTTATCTCATGATGTGAAACATAATGTAATAAATCTCCTCAGAGTAAGGCTTTTTTTCCAGGACTCCAGGGGCCCCCCTCCAAGAAGGTTTATTTTCGATTTTTCCCTAACCGAGAAGAACGGATGCCAAATCAGTTCTTTATTCGTTTCTACTTTCTCGTTCATCGAGGGCCTATTTGTACTTTTGAAAACCTTCTTTACAGGTTGTCTGGTTTGTCTCTTAAACAGTCCTGATCGCTAAGAAAGTGTTTGTTTACCGGGTACCGATGACTGTAAGTCCTCTCCGAGGGACTTGGTAATGTGGATTAATGTCTCACCAAAGGGCATTTGGTTCCGACCCCGGGACCTCCCCGTTATGAGATCGCTGCTCTACCATAGATCCATCGCGCCTCCTCTATCCCTTCTATTATTTATAACCAATTTTCTCTCGTTTGTAAGGCTCCTTGTCGTGTGAAATCACCCCGTGAAATCTGGACTGTCAATGGTGTTTCTTCCTGTCTTGAACCCGTATACGAGTTCAATTCAATTCAATTTTATTTTCCACATTAAAACATAATAATTATATAATGAATACTTACAAAAGAGATGATGTAATAAGCTGGGATTCAGTGTTCCTTGTTTCATAAGAACGGAAAGAAGAATTGACCTTAAACATGTCGTTTTTTTACCACATGTCAATTTTCGTAATATATAAGTAAAAAGTCTATGTTGACAGTTATTGAGTGAGCAAACGGTGTGTACTTTAATACCAAACCAACTTCATACAAATTCATATTCTACACAATCGTGCTGGTCGAATCATTACATGTTTTTTGATTATATAAACCACACAGACTGTATTGATGTATAATTTCCATAAGCAAAATTATTTGTGGTGGGAAATTGAATAAGAACTTCATATTCAAATTATACATCAATGCAGTCTGTGGTGGAAAATTTTGCTTATGGAAATTATACATCAATACCAAGTTTACTTGATTTAATGAGGTCAAAGACTGGTAAAGATGTCAGATCATGAAACAAACAAACACCGGGGTTTATATAATACAAAAAACCTGTAATGATACGACCAGCACGATTGTGTAGAATATGAATTTGTATGAAGTTCGTTTGGTATTAAAGTACACACCATTTGCTCACTCAATAACTGTCAACATAAACTGTTTACTTATATATTACGAAAATTGACATGTGGTAAACAAAATAGTGTTGTAAATAGTCAATAAAATATTTTGTGGTAAAACATTAATATTATTATCATCATCATTTTTATTGTTTTTTATTAATTTTTCATTTTTTAAGTATTAGTTTTATAATGTTACAACTGCTAGTCATGTCACTATTCTGTCAATATTTACATTAGAACAACAATCAACTACCTCACCCTCTCCACAAAAAACTATAGATAAATGAAAATACATTGACTTTCAATTTGTTCACGATATCGTATTTATCCATTTGTACTCGGGAAATAAGTCAGTTAGGGGTTACGATAACAAAATTAACCAAATCCTTAATAATAAACCCTCTTTAATTACTTTTTATAAGAGCATTCAAATTGAAAGTCTTGTTTTACGACAATGTTCGAGAAAACGCGTAGCACATTTAACATCAGGGTATTGTCCTGTAGACTTTGCATCTAAACAGCAATTATTAAGTATTTGGCGTCACCTTTGCCTGAGGAGGGAAAGGCGAAATGATTTACTGTGACCCTTGGGTCTCTCCTTCCGCTATGACTGATTGGGGATGTGCAGGTGGGCCACTACAGCGGGGCTACCCCCTACTCTTATACGAATAGGGCAAACGTATGGTGTCGGTGGTGACACTCCTCTACACTGGACGTTCATTTAACGTCCTATCCTAGGGACGGAGCATTTCCATTGTCA